AGAGAGAGAGAGAGAGAGAGAGAGAGAGAGAGAGAGAGAGAGAGACAGAGGGAGAGATTATGGGCCCAGTCCTGCAGACACAGGTTTCAACTTTCCTGGACCACTGTGGCGTTGGTGGGGAGGGAAACCAGAGATAAGGGCATGAGGTCATTTTAGGAGCCAAAATGTACCAGGAGAATGCAGCCTGTGAGGCGGCGTCACAGCGTACTTTAACATGATCAATTCCCTAACATGAGGGGCTCCCAGTATTCTTCCAGCATGGAAGGTAAAATGAGCAGTGCAAAACCCTGTTTAGTTTGCCAAAGAAATATGAATAAGAGTAACTTTGAAATTTGGGATTTTACATAAAGTCCAGAATTATAACATCTCTGTAAAAACTACAAGAGCCGTGAGTGCTGAGAATGCACTCCTCGGGACACCGCTTGTCTTTGGCTAAGCCCTGGATGTCCATTTCACAGGGGACATGTGTTTTCCAGTTCTCCACCATCTCCAGCATGGTCACTTCATTGTTACCCTTGCATCCAGCCCAGGAAGCTCAGTGAGTTTGCAGTCCTCCCTCTTCCTTCCGGAATAGGGCTTCCTTTGTTGAGAACATGAGGCTGTGTTTTCCTATTCTACATTTTAACTTTTGATTTTTTTCGGGAGATTTTGAATCTCTTCTCACTTGTCAGAGAAACTCTTTTTTCCTGCAGCAGGTTTCTTTTTGTACTCTCCAAGAACAGCTTGCTGGCTTGCAAAAAAAGGAGAAGCAGAGTTCTTTGGGGAGCTGTCAGAAAGAGCAGATGCAGCCCCAGCATGGCGCTTCTGATCCCTGCAAGTGGCACCGTAACACTATATTTGTAAAGGGAAGGACAGAGAACGTCTCTTCTCTTCACATCTCAATTTGCATTTTATTAGGCACCCAGTAGGATGGTTTGTAAATAGCCATCTTTGCTCACAGATCTCTCTATCAACCTCCAACCTACCAGAGGGCAAAACATAGGGATGCTAAAAACAGGATGGTGTAAAAGGAAACAGAAAATACGGCTCATAACTGTGACTTTTTCTTCTTTTTCAAAAAGTGTCTTTTGTTTATGAGACTTCCGAGCAAGATGAATGAATGGTCTTTGTGGAGATACTTAGAGGTAGAACAAAGCTCAGAAGAGGAAGGTTGTTGTGGAAGAATAAGACAAAGAGAATAAGGTTCTATGCTTAGCATCTCCATTGGCTGGCTGTGTGTACTGGCATAAGTGACTTCATGCTAGGTTCCCTTATAATGTTTTTCATACTATTGACCTGGATGCCATAGAGCAAAGCATCCAACTTCCCTGGTCAAGTGCAAATGCCCACCGACCCCTTCATCTTTGCAATCTTCCTTGTCTGGGGTTCCCCTGTTAAATTCTCTCTTAGTGAGCAGGAGGAAGAACTTTCAAGGATCTTTGATTTACTTCTTATGAGCTCAGTTGATGCTATTATTATAGTCATTCTTGAGAAGTCTTGTTCTTAAAACAAGAAAAAAAGATTAAAAAGCTTAACTACTATTTTTTGCTTTGAAACTTTGTTAGCTGCAAAGCGGGAAGCGATCGCATGTAATTATGATTCCCTTCAATAAAGGACATGAGCTGGAGAAAGTTAGGCAACATGAAAAGAGTTCCAAATCCTGTTTGGTTGATTTTGACTTAAAACTACATTTCAGAAAGTAACTTGTGTATGGTATATGTGACACCCCATGTGGGTGACAGAATGACCTGGATATTCTTCAGTTAGTTTGATTTACCTTCAATACAATTTGGATTTAAAAAGTAAAGCTGTCAGCTCATTACTAAGGCAATAGAGAGGTAGAACTGAAGTTTGGGTCAAAGTTAAATACACTAACTTTCTTTTTAAAAAAAGTAGAAGAGAAAGACTGCATAAAGACACAAAACCTCTTTGGTTTTATTTTCACAGATACATGCAGTTTGAATTTGCTCCAGCTTTTCTTTTTTCTAGGAAGTTGAGAAGGGAAACATTGCTTCCAATGTTTCCCCTGCTGGGTGCTGAGATTACATCTTCCAGATTTTTGGAAGGTTGAAGTGAGTGATCTCTGAGAGTGTTTTCCAGCCTGTGGCTCTGTGAAGCTCTTCAGATTTATGCTATAGGCTGGTGAACCTCAAGTCCCTTGTCTCTGTGCATTTCTTTTGATGCCTCTTACTATGGAACAAAGACCACCTCCCCTGCAGTTACTCTTTTCCTCTGTTCTATTCCCTTATCATCACATAAAGAGCATCATTTTAGCACTCAATATACTTCACTATAATTATCTGTTTATGTATCCTTTGCCTTTGAATTTTCTGAGGGAGGACAAAGTTTAGATCTCACCCATCTTTTTATTGCCAGCATGTAGCACCAGGGTAAGTACTGAACTTTGTAGGGGGAATTCTCAATACTATGTTGAATGTTACAGAGTGAATGAGTGTGGCACCAAGTACAGTCAAAGGCTCACCTTTTCCTCATTCTCACTTGCATATCTGCAACGTGGAAAAGTTTGGCTAAACAGGAAAAAGTTATTGGGAGGAAAAATATCTATCTCTATCCTGTCTAGCTTAGCTTTGCCAGTGGGGAGGAAGTGGGGAGAGAAGATTGATAAACAGCATTAATGCATAAAGAAACTTGCAAACAATAACATCACATTGGGTTTTGTTGGTTTGCTTTGTTTTAACCATGGTCTGCTGAAGAAATGGCCCTACTCCTAATTCATCCCCCACTTCCCCTGGTTAAATATAATAGGGGAAGCAGACTTTAACTTTGCCATCAATATTACTCCTTAGATGTCCAGATTCCATCTTATGTTTGATTCAAGGAGTGATGTCTAATGGGGCTGTGTACATGTAGAGAGGGGATAAGCAAAATCTCAGGTCTGTTAGTCCTATAGTGAAATAACTGAGTTCTGGCCAAGTAAATCTTCCCCAAAAGCTGAGGGTACACAGGAGAGACAGAACCCTCCTAGAATTTAGACTCATGTGACTGACCAACCTAAACTGCTTGTCGTCCCCTCCTTCCGTAATCTCTCTCTATCTGTTACCTTTTCTTGCTGTTGAGACAAAATACCAAGCACTCAAAGTTAAAAGAATATTTCAGCTCACCCTTTGTAGAGGTTTCAGTCCGTAGTCAGCTAGCTCTACGACAGGGTGGCATGGGAGAGAGGCATCGCAGAAGAGAAACAATTCATGGCATTGCAGTCAGAAAGCAGCAAAACATCAAAGCAGCAGCAGCCAAGCAAACCCATGCTTTCCTTTTTATTCCATCCAGGCTATAAATATTTTGGGTGGTGTTATCCACACTCAGGGTGGGGCTTCTGCCTGCAGTAAATCCATTTGCCCACAGAAGAAATATGTTAGTTCTGACCAATGGATTACTTTAGTAACACACACCCTAGATCCAGCCAGCTCTAAAAAGTCCATCTATGAATGCATAAGACTTTGAGGAAACATCTAGATACAAGCCATAGCACCCTCTCTGCTAAGGGCTTGACTTCTTCCCTCCAGTCATAGGCCACCATACTTCTGTACCCCCAGGAGAATCAAACTTAAGAATGGTATGCATCATGGGAGGCTGGCAGAGCCTCAGAAGGATCATTCCAGGAGAAATCATTGAGCTATAATTAAGAACTTCATGGGCTGCCCAGTCTGCTCCCACAGTACATTCCCAGGTAGACTTCCCTGCTGAGATAATCTGTGTTTCTGGGTTCTTTATTTGTTCCCCCTTTCCCTTGGACCTCATTGATCTTTCTTCTCTTATCTCCTACTTTTCTGTCTAAACTCTATCTTCAAACCTGGGAAATCTTTCATTGTTTAATCTTACTCTGTTCTGTGTTGGAGATGGCAGATGACATGACTTTGCTCTCTTTCATAATGGTTTCCCAATATTATTTTATGCCATCTAGTACTTTCTGACATTTTCTGAGGATTGTACCTTTAGGAAACAAAGCATGGACCACACTCTTTCCTGTCTCTGGTGTCTTTTACATGTCTCCTATTTCTGAGGCAGTAAGCATGGAAATGGCTTAACTGCCTCCATAAGGATATGTGATGATGGAACATGAAAATATGGTAAGAAAAAAAAACATTGCTACAGTGTTTAAAATACCATCTTATAGAAACAGCAAATAAACATATGAAAAAATGTTCAACATCACTGGTCATTTGAGAGATGTAAATGAAAACACCAATGAGATTCCACCTTATCCCAGAAAGAATGGCTACTATCAAGAAATCAACCAATAACAAATGCTGGTAGGGTTGTGGGGAAAAAGGAACCCTTCTCCATTTTTGGCGGGAGTGTAGACTGGAGCAACAATTGTGGAAGTCAGTGTGGAGTTTCCTAAGAAAAGTAGGATTAAAAGTCCGTTTGACCCAGCTATTCCACTGCTGAGTATATTCCCAAAAGATTTAAAAGCATCTTAGCACAGCAACATATGTGCACCCATGTTTATAGTAGCACAGTTTGTAATAGCTAAATCTTGGAAAAAACACAATTGGCCATTAAGTGGTGATTGGATAAAGATGTGTGTTTTAAAAAAATATTTTGTAAAATGGAGTACTACTCAGCCACAAAGAATGATAAACTAGAGAGTTTTACAGCTAAATGAATTCATATTGAGGCCATACTCTTTTTGTGTGGGGGGATACTGGGGATTGAACTTGGGTCCTTGCTCTTGAGAGGCAGGTTCTCGAACCACTAAGCTAAATCCCCAGCCTGAGGCCATACCCTTGAGAGAAATAAATCAGACACACTTGTATAAATACTGAGTTGTTTCTCTGGTATGAGAAACTGAAAGTGTGAATGAAGACCAAGATGTATAATAGATAATGTGAGATAGGAAGCGAAGATTCAAAGGGGAAGGGGAAGTAGGGAGGGAGGGGGAAGGAAAGAAGGGAAAGAAGAAATATGAGAAAAAAAATGGAAACAAGGCTTTTGTAAGTAGGGAGGGGTAAAGGGGTGGAAGAGAGGGACGGGGAATGGGGAAAAACAAGAACTAAGATTTATCATGTGCAGGCACAAATTCTCAACAATGAGTGTGATCATAATATATACCTAAAATGTACCAATAGAGTTAATAAAAAGAAAAAGAACAAAATGCCAACTTGTCAAATTTCCTGGGCTAGAGATCCTGGAATTTACCCTCTGGGCAATGGATGCCATAACATTTTGGGCAACATGATCAAAACTGACCTTAAAGACTGACTGAACAGTACTGTCAACTCATACATTTGTTTGTCTACCCGTTCCTACTCATGATGGAACAACATAGCAAAGCTGGTTGCCAGGCATTAGAAGTAGGCATCACAACCAGTGGCTCCTTGGTGCCCAGTGATGGGAACATATAGAGATCTCACCCACTGAGCATCCTGGACTCACACTTTTCTGCTCTGTCCTTTAAATGAATCCTTCAGGCATTCGGGCACTTAAAGTCACACATACTCTACTCCCTTATATATTCTGCTACTTTCCCCCTGATGGATTCTTCGTTCTTGTTTCACATGACCTGGGAATGGAGCATTATCCTCTGCATTTATGACACCTTCTTTTCCAGGATCCATAAATAAAATCTTTGGATTTGTCTCTTATTGTGTAGATGTATTGAATTTTCACCTTTCACCTAAAGAAATAGGAGCTGCCCAGTTTATGTTTTCCACAAAACACCAGTGAGAACAAAAGGTCAGGATTACAGAGCTTACAGAGGTAAAAGGGCTGATCGGACATATAGATTGGACAAGGTTGGAAAACAGCCACTAGGGTGTCTGGCAGTATAACCAGTTTTGCTATATGACGAATGCCCTGTCCACAGTCAGACAACTGTACATTGGGCCTTTTGCCAGATAAAAGATGCATCCTATGGAAGACACACCACAAATTCCCATGTCCGTCTCTCCTTTACTTCATTAGGACAGGGTTACTGGCCATTCTGATATTGGAACTTCAGTTTAGCTGGGGTCTCAAAACACCAGTATTATATTAGGACTTATAAAGGCTATATGAAATAAAAAGCAAGAGCCAGGACTTCAAAGCACTTTAAAAAAAACTTAGGTGAGTGAACTGTTTTACCCATAAATAAAATAAACTCGAGTAAGGCTGTGTATGCATCAGTTCTGGGTGGTGCACCATGAAATGTAAGTATTGCAGGGTGAGCAGAGGGGAGAGCTAGAGACTCCCGGAAATGCTTAGTGACAGGGAGGTACATCAGTTAACTTCAAAATTATGCTAGTAAGAATTTGAGGGAGAACAGTATAAAATGAAAGAGAAGGCGTGTGCCGTTGCCATCCTCAACATCTACTTTCACTTCCTCTTCCCAACAGATCTCAGTGTTTGGGAACCCACATGGCTGTAGGTTGATTCCTTCCAGTTCTAGACATAGATGTATGACATAAGCTAAAGTCATTCCATCTCTCAGGCTTTGGTGATTAATTCAGGGGGGACTATTGCTTGACGTGGTGGGATAAAAGCCTCTTCTCTCTAGTCAGAACTGAGGTCAGGAACTGCCACACGAGAGAAGAATACCGGTGCATGGGGTAAGGCACAGTCGAAGGAATCAGAAAAATAGTTGATGAAATCTGCAGATCAAACCACACCTGAAGCTTAGTTCAATTTTTGATTTGTCAGTTACATGATACAAAAATGTCTCTCTGAGTTGGGTTTTTGTTGTTTCTTGCACTGAAACAAATGAACAGATGGAGCTATTTGAAATATGGTGGTCTATGATCAGAGGGAAAGAGTAAATCTTTTGAAGGGGAGGGAAAATATGGGAAGCCAGAATGATGAGCAGCTTTGGTTGATCAGTTGAATGAGAGCAAATATTAGGAGGTCTTGAATGGTAGACCAAGACACATGTGAATACACATTAGTGTCATGAATTGATGCTAGGGGAAAGTCACTAAACATTTTATAAATATGTAAGAATGATATTGGCCATTAAAAGCCAGAAATCATATAACAAGTTTGGGGAAGACTCTTAGTTTCTGGTTTCTTTTTTACCCCTGAAGAGGACCCACAGGGGCCAATTAATAGCGCCCAAGCCTTTACTTTGCCAGATATCATCTTTACACAAGACTTCTGGAACTGTTCCCATAAAGTTTAAAAGTTGGTGTGTATAAGTTTATGTGTTTCCTTGTAAAATGTATTTGCCGTATGACTTTTACTTGAAGTAAAAAAGTATTTCCAAAGTTATAAATATGAAGTTTAGAAGAGAGCATATTTCTTGGTAGAAATTTATTCCTTGTGACACATTTTGAAGTTTGTTTTCCATTTTTCTTTATCTCTGTTCCTTCAGAGCGGTGTTTGTTTTTGCCATTATGCAAGATTTGCAGCCAAACACTGTGGTGTTTGTATATTCTTTCTTAATCAGATAAAAAAATCATTCTAAGCTGTATCTAGAAAATTTCATGCTAAGTATAGTTGAAAAAAATTTGAATAGCACTACAAAAAGGACAAACCTCAAAAGGTGTGAACACAATTTTCCATAGGGAACACAAACTATAGGGAAAAGCACAAACTATGGCGCAGTTTCCGAAGAAATTCCAAGCTCACAGCCAAGGTAAGATTTACATGTTTTTAGGATATATAACTTAATGAGAAGAAGTATTTTGCACTTTGTTGTTTACTTCACACTGAACATTGTTGATTTTCACGGGGCACTGGCTTGGTTTGGAGCAGCTGCCGTCAAAGCCCCTGCTCACCACACCTCCATCAGGCAGAGCTTCAGAGGGGCTGGGCTCTAGGTGCCTCAGAAGGGATTTACTGGAGCATTATGTTTAATTGACAAGTTGCAGTTTAGTTTTCAAGGGGCTGATCACGGATCAAAGTTGAATGTTTTGAGTCCTTGCACTTACTCTCAATATAATTCCTGAATGCATGATCTATTTAAGAAAACAGCAACAGCCTTTTAAAATAGGGAGCAGAGAGGGGCCAGATGGACCTAATGAACAGGATTTTCATTTTTAAAAGTCCAATCAGGACATGCATATGGAAAGCTGTTCTACCATTCATCCTATCATTGAATCACTTACAAGAACATATATTGTGCATCTTGTTTATTCTAGGAGCTGAGCCATAGATGCCATTTCTTGGGGCCTCCCAGAATCCTAAATTGGCTAGCAATTGAATTCTCAATTAGACCAGAGTATGTGGGTACACTCAAAGGGAGAAAAACTAGAGATAGAAATCAACAGAGATGATAGGATGAAACAATTCCATAGCAGATAACTTTGCCTTGCCCAGTACAATGTTTTCCAGCTGCTATGTCATACAGGGCAAAGCAAATTTAAAAAAAAAAAAAGTTTTAATGGTGGATGGGAGCTTCTTTTCTGTCCTTTCATATTCTGTTAACTTAGCTTAACCCGATAGGCTTGTAAGACATTCATAAATCTCTTTTAGTAACTCAGCGTTCCTCAAATTGTGTCCTATAGAGTACTACACCTACAAGACAGTCCAGTTAAAAAAAAAATTGTGCAATCAGTTAAGTGTGGGAAACTACAAATTGTGTACCTTTCCAGGAGGGATTGGTTTCACTCTAAGAACTCTGAGAAGTCCTTGGGAAAGAGATTTGTTCAACTGTTTCAGATTATTTCTACCTTGAACACAGAATCATTTTATGCCATCTATGGCTCTCTTATTCTTCTCTAGGACATGGAAACTGTGGGACATTGAAAAGACAGACAGCTGGCACCTTTAGTAGTTCCAATGTCAAGGAAACCAACACAAAGTACCAGGGGAGAAAAAATCATATTTTCTAGTAGCACTATTACCAAAGAAGAAAGGCAATGTGGGTATGCACTATGACACTCGATGAATGACAACTGAAAACAAGAAAGAGAATGGCTATAAGAGACACTCTTACACATGAGATTTATACATTTGTAAACTATAAGACAATATTTCTTGTTTTGTTTTCTTCTGCTACTCTACCCAGCTTTATCTCATGGGCTGGGAATCACCTTTCTTTAATTAAATCTTTTTTATTTCTAAGCTTTGTTACATGCACAGACACATACATTATGCCTATTTTTGATTCCTTATCACATTTTAATCTGTTACTAACAATAAAAAGACTACTATAGAACATTGATTTAGTAATCTCATTAGCATCTTCATGTGCTTTTTGCATATTTCATATAAAAAGTCTGAAAGGCAAGTACAAATAAGACCTTCTGCCCTCAAAACATGCTGAAAAGACAAATTCGCAGGGAAAGAACGATACTGACACCTTGTTGGGATGTTAACTTCCAATCAAACTCAGTTGCACACTGAGTTAGTAAGGAAACGGCTTCCTAGGACATTAAGCAGAGCTGAAAAACAACGGTGTGGGGTGTATAGTGACATAATGTCAGAGCTGGCATCCCCTGGGGGATCATCAGTGTAGTTATGCCTTTTCTACTTGCTCTCTCTTGCAGGGTCTAATAGGGTCCGTAGATGCACTGTGCAATGGACTACTTTAGTGATTGTATTGGCCACGAATCTCTAGTTACAGGTATACAGAGATATACTCTGTCTGTTTTAGATGATCATAGTCCAGTGGAACAGAGCACATAGCACATGATGTGCACTGTGACAAAGGGAGGTACTGGGTACCATGGGAGCACAAGAGGGTGTCCAGCTTGGTTAGAGTTGAGGGGATCATGGAAGAGCTTAGGCTTGAAACACCAGAAGAGCTCCATTGACCTTCTTTGCAAAGCAGAGGGAAGCTTGGTGCAAAGGTGGAGAGGAATACGGCTTGCTGCACCTCCAGGGAACTCAGTCTTGAACATGGAATACATCCTAGGAGGCTGGCATGGAAAGCAAGCAGCGGCTAGGCACCAGAACCCTTCATATGACAGTTTTCAGGGGCATGACATTCAGAGTTCAGAGGGTCAGTTCTGTGTAACCAGGCACTTGTTATGTCATTTTTGTCACCACTTTTTGGGGGTATTTATTTTCTCATTTGTAACCTTGGAGCGTTTGTCCTTTTGAGATGTCTTCTAGTTTTAAGCTATCTATGATCTATTTGGTACCATGTTTAACACACTGAGACCATTCTTCTCCTGATTCTCTCTAGTCTGTTTTTTGTTAGAAAATTTTTCACTAACCAGAGTTGGTTCTCAATATATTCAGTGCAAGTAGTTTTCTTCTTTAGTATTGTAAGAAAAGTCCACTTTTCTCTTGTGCACTTGGCCTTTGTGTTAAAGTAGTAAAAAGAGCTGCTGCAATGTCAAACCAGAGTGATTATTATTCAAATCTTTTTCCACACTGTATAAGCCCTTTTTATATTCTTTGGACTTTTCATTGGACCAAGTACAATGAATTTAATGCACTTTTTATTAAATTCTGTTTCTTACAAGTGGAAAGAATTCTTCCTCCTTTCTGCTTTTTGGGTTTTACAAATCGCTAACCACTTAGATTTTTAACATATATTCTTTTATTTTATTTTGCTTTTTATTTTGTTATGCCTTAACTTGGTAAAAATATTGCAGAGAAATTTTTAAAAATTAAGAAACTGTGGAGGGGAGGAGGGGGTTAAGAGAGGGCAGGGACAAAGGGAAAAAATGAGAACCAAGACCTGTCATTTAAAGGTACAAGATCCCAGTAATGAATGTAACTGTACCATATGCCTAAAATGTACCAATAAACTCAATTAAAAAAATGCAAAAAAAGAAAAAAGAAACTGAAACTTGAATTTGCACCATTAGAATTCAATGCTATTAATTTTTTCTATATTTATTTCAGGTCAAATTTCAAAAACTTAATAAAATAATAAAATTATTTCAGATATGTAGAATTGTCTTTGATCATTATTGGGAAGCTATTTTCCAACGCTCCTGCTAAGAGCTCCATCTCCAAATTTGTCACATGTCCAACATAGCAATATGTATCCAAATGACAAACAAACAATTTACATGTGTGATTGACTTTGATAAATTATTTTAGCAATTGTTGGTGTTTAAAAATTTTCAAATGTATATAGAATAATAATAATGAAAATTGTACTTCTTTCAAGGGGGGTCAAGTAAAAGAGGATTAATAAAATGAGCTAAGAGCTGGGGACATAGCTCAGCGGTGGGGCACTTGCCAGATATATTTGAAGTCTTGTGTTCGATTCCTAGTATACAGTCCCCAGAAGGGGGGGAGAAGGAGGAGGAGAAGGAGGAAGGAGAGAGGGGAGAGAGAAGGAAGGAGAGAAAGAAGGAAGGAAGGGAAGAATGAAGGAAGAGAGAGAAAAGGAGAGAGAGAATGAACTAAGATTACCAAGATAATAGGAAAATGTGTGGTTTGGGGGAGCATTGGAGAAGGTCAAGTGGCCATTGGATTGTTCCACTGGAAGTGTTTCCTGGGCTTGGGGTACTTTTAACTGACTGCTCCCATTCTTAGGTTAACAGATGAGCATTATTACCTCAGAAGTAGGTTTCTTATAATCAGAATGCATTTGTTGTACAAGCAATATTGGTTCTCTCTTGCTCTCTCACAACCACTGACCCTTCCACCTTCCTCCACAGATGCCACCACCACTCCCTTGGACTTCCTGGCCTTCAGAACTGTGACCCGAATGTGCTGCTGTTTCTTGTGAATTGCCCAGGTATTCTGTCACTGAAGCACAAACCTGACCGAGATTACTGCTTTGCTTTCTCTATGGGAATAAAGAAAAATTTTTGCTTGTTTACATTCTCTTAAAGCTGGGAATAATGGATTCAGATAATCCTAGTCAATTTGAAACTTGTAAAAGTGAAATGGAGACTCAAGGACTGTTTAGAAATTATTCATGATTGGATTTGCATGAATAATAAGGGTTGGTGATTTCTACTATCTATTTTCAACAGTATGTGTTAGGCTCTGTTTCCTGCTAATTATGTTGTATATAACATCTCTCTTAATCCTCATAATAACTTTATGCATTTAGTACTTTTATGTCATTCACTTTGCACATAAAGAAACATTCAAACATCTTCTGCAAAAATTGAGGAATATATGAATCAAAGTGTTCCTACTGGGTAAACTAAGTCAAGTCTCTGTATGTTGAGCCTTTCTTGGTTTTGTCCAAAGTTGAAGTTGATCTCTCTAGCTTCACTTTGATTTATTTGTCCATTAATTAATTTTTCTTTTAAATTAGCCAAAGTTATATCCTGCTGCTTACAATCAACCAAAAACTCTGATGGACTTAACCTCTGCTTCCAGACTCTTGATTTCACAACATAAATTCCTATTCATTTTTCAAGAAACTGCTTAAAATACTATGTTTGGTACTGAACTTGATGTTACAGGTTAATTTTTCTTTCTTTGAACATTATGACTTCATATACGTCTATATATATGTATATGTATATATATACTTTTTGCATAATGTCTAACTTTAAAAGGAAAGCTAATTCTACTTCTCTTTTATTTTGATGAACAACCTAATTAGTTGATGTGGTCGGTCAAATAATGGTCTGCTAAGATAACCAAGACCTAATCCTTGGAGTCCATGATTGTTCATTTATATGGCAATGGGGATTTTACAGGTGTGATTAAGTTAAAGATCTTAAAATGGGGAGATTAACTTGGATTATTTGGGGAGAATTGAAATGTAATCACAAGAGTATTTATAAGAAAGAGGCAAAAAATATATAAGAAAGAGGCAGAAGGAAATTTGACTTTATGATTTGATAAGAGAAACAGAGATTAGAATGATGTTCAGGAAAAGGCAAGAAAAGGGCCACAAATCAAGGAATAATGGTGGCTACTAGAAGCAGAAAAGGGAAAGGGGCTGGGTTTTCCCCCTAGAGCCTTTACGAAGACCTTGATAACACCTTGGTTCTATTTGTGAGGCTCATTTCAGACTCATGACCTCCGGAAGTATAAGAGAATAAATTAGTTTCTTTTCATTAAAAAAACCCTGCTAATTTAAAACTTGTTACTCTTTACGAAGACCTTGATAACACCTTGGTTCTATTTGTGAGGCTTTTTTCAGACTCATGACCTCCGGAAGTATAAGAGAATAAATTAGTTTCTTTTCATTAAAAAAAACCCTGCTAATTTAAACAACTTGTTACAGTGACAACAGGAAACTAATTGTTGATGAAATGAGATCATTATTTTTTGTGTTTATGCTTGGTGTAGAAAATGGAGCACATTTTGACTCTGTTATGGTTTTAGCCTGGGGAGGATCGATGACAACTCACACCCATACATTGTAAAATGTTCAGGCTGTAAGAAGGGATATTGTGCCATGATTTCTGTTGTGGAGAAGGCACTTTTATGGTCGATGGATTTTTTTAGAAAAGTGAATGATATGAAAACATTCACTGGCACAAGCTTGATTGATTTCAAAATTTCTTATCTCAAATTGTCTTACCATTTCTTTTCTGTGTGGAGGGTCATTAACAATGTTTCTCCGTCACCAAGTGACATTCTATGTTGACAGAAGGAATAGCAAGAATTCAGTTTGGCTGTTACGCTGATGTAATACGACCTAGATCTAAAGAAAAATGCATGCCCAGAATAAAGCCTATTTTGTTTTAAGTGCCTTTTGTCCTTTAGTAAAAAGGAAGAGTAAAGTAATCACTGTGGCTGAGACATTTGAAAGATTACAAGGCTTATATAGTTCACGTGAAAGATATGCCCCTTGAAGATACCATACACCTGATAAACTTTAGAAATTTAATAAAAATTGTTTTAAGTGACTGTAGGGACCTCTGTTGGGAGGGGAAAGAAAAGAGCTGTGTGCTTCTTTTTATGAATGTGTGTGTGTGTGTGTGTGTGTGTGTGTGTGTGTGTGTGTGTGTGTTGGGGATGGTGTGGGGGTGGGGTGGAGTGAGTGAATACGTGTTAGAATTTATTTGAATAATGTCTCAATATATTACTACTGTTAACAAAATTATGATTGGTGCACCAAGCAGAATACACTTGAAATAAATAGCTTCTAATGCGATATTACAGAGATTTCCAATATCAACTTGTTTCTATTTCACAGCATGTAGATAATAGGAGTGAAGACATGTCTAAAGGTCATTGCTTACGTTGTGGTTATGTGTCTTACAATGCCTGACTGATGTTTTTAAAAGAGTGGCTGAATACCTATGCCATCCAGGATGGAGGATCTCTTCGATGCTGACAAACACACATCTATCTAGATAATGGAACTGGTTCTTTTTATTTTTTTCATGCATGTTTGTTCACATAAATACAACACACAGAGCATTCAGCTGTGACTCATGAATAAATCTTGAAGATTCATGAGAAGAAACAGTATTCAAATATGATTTTCAAGTGAGGTAGGAGGAGAGGGAGTGAGGGATGAAAGGAGGGAGGGGGAGAGAGAGAGAGAAAGAGAAGAGAGAACATCTATAGGGCAGAGTGCTAATTCATGTTTTGCTTCTATTGGGGAGGTAAGACTGCACCTGGTGGAGAATTTAAACATCTTAGATTCAATGCTTGAGCACAGAAGCCAAACATTTTGTGGGTTTTGTTGTTGTTGTTGCTGTTAGCATTAGAGCATGATGAACTTTGCCATCTTATTCAAGAAAGGCCACGTTGCTTGATCAATATAATGAATCCACACTGAGCTCCCATGTTGTTTTTAAGTCTAACTCTGGGGGAGCAAAGTGTTGGTTCCTTTCCACAAGCAACGGGAGAGTTAGAAGCATAGGGTGACTAATGTATCATTGTAAATGAGGGTCAGCAAAATGTGGCTTACCTTCTCGTCACCTCTTCTGCTTCAGGGTCTAAGACAGCCATGCTGGTTTCTCAGGCCTTTCTTTCCTCTGACTCTGGAGGCAGCTTTTATTCTCAGTATTGTACACCATGAAAGCACTACCCTTGGACTGAAAATGACATTGTCAGTAAAGCTCACGAGTAGCTCAGACTCACTAGGTGAGCTCATTTATTTACTCCCCAAATGAGAAAAAAATAAAAGGAGCTGGTGAAACAATTTAAGTGAAAGTTCTGAGGTGTTGACTGGCCAGACAAATGTGGTAGGTGATACTCTCCAGGTGGCTGGGTGAGATTTGCACACATGCGCCAACTTGTGAATAATATTATAATCAGTATCAGTTTCTGGTAGGCTAGAAGTGAATTTTGAAACCTAAATCCCATCAATAACAAAATCCACATCAAATTACATAGTAATTTATTCACTCTGATTAATTTACTCATTTGATAATTCAAGGAAGAACACACCTACTATAGAGTGTCTATATTCCTTGAGGAGAGGTCAAACTAGTAAGAAAAGAAATGCTCATTATACACACTCTTTTGTAATTGTCTGCAGCTCTGGACCAATTAGTATTTTATTTCAATAAGTAGGGCAGAAGCTCTCTATGTCAACCTAGACTTCTAACTTGCCTGCCTTACAGGTCTTCATAAAAAGAAGACTACACTGTACCTCTTTGATTCCCAGGTGGGGGTATATGTGACTTTTTCTCACAGATCAATGAACATCTTTTCATTAAGCCATGGTAGCCTTCATGTGGCAATTGCCGTAGAAGATATTGGACATATTCCTCTGTACCATTCCCTTGGTAATGATAATTACCTGGTAATTATGCAGGCCTCTTGACAAATGAGCATTTTAGAAACGACGGGTTCAAAACAACAGTGTCTACCAAACATTACATGCATTTTTGTTTGTTTTTAGATCCTTGGTGCTCATGGAATCTTTACCAAACAACTCCAAATGGCACTGGGCTCCCTTCTGCATAGGTGAGCAGGATCCTATAGTTAGCCCTCATGGCACAAGCACAGCTGTCACATTAAAACTGCTCCTGGGAAACGATGAATGTTTCATTTGATTTTTTTTTCTTGTGGAGGTGGAGATAAGGGACAGACGATTACAAAAGGGAGAGAGAAAGAAAGGTACATTCATTTAAAAATGACAAAAATAATATTTCTCAGTTTGCTCTCCCTGTCAAACAAGGGTAATAAAACCTGTTTTACCTTCCAGTGTTGTTTTGAGGTATAAATTGGGTAAGAGATTTAAAGTTCCTTGGAGAGTTAGAAAACATGAAGTGTATTCTGACATCCCCTCCATTTCTAGCTGAAAGTAATATGAGATAATGTGTTTGCAGTGACAGAAAGCAGAATAGGCTTCAAGGTACTAGGGACGATGCTTCCCCAATTTTTCCTAGTGTTACACGCAGTACGAGTACTGGGTATGATCTCACTGAGTGTAAACAAAGCCATAGATGGAGACGGATGGGGGCAAATGTCTGGGAGCTCTGCCCATCTCAGGTCTGCCAAGTTACCTTGAGAAATGAGTTGGTCAGCTTCTTGGTACGTCTGCCCCCCAAAGTTGACTGCAGTGAGATGCTGATGAAGCTTATACTTTAGGAAACTTCACTTTCATGGGTCCCATCCTAGATCCTACATCTATGTTTGCATTCATAAGTATTTATTCATTTTCTTCTGAACGTTTCCTTAAATTGTATTAGCTTCCAGGGCCACAACACTTGTTTCCACCCCCTGCTTAAAACTCGCGTGTTGTGCCCTTGCCGGGAAGTTCTGATCCATATTTTGCTCATGCTGGACCCTTTACCAGCAATTCATTGCAGTCACTAGCGGTGTCTAGAATATTAAATGACTGAGTTTCTCTACACATGGAGA